TGTATATAGTATATATGTATGACTATGACTATGACTATGATAATCAAGAACCATTTTTCAGATTTGGGGAGGAGAATGTTACTCAAATTAGCCAGCCAAAATGCCGCCCTGGTAGGCCAGACTGGCAAGCAGAAAGTAGCGGTCACAGGTCGTGCGGCCGACTGCGGAAGTAACTCGGAGCAGCATGTCGGAGCTTACGGCGTCAGCTGCTGACTCAAAGCCATCGCACAGCTCGTACAATTTGGCGAGCAACGTTTTGTACATGTAGGCAGCTTCAGACGTGCTGTTGTTGAGGCACATCGGGGGGCATCTGCGGAAGTACTTAACCTTCTCCGGAACACGGTCCTCAGGGCTTTTCGGCCCTGCCACAGAATTGGAAGTGGCGGCTATTTGCTGGACGGCTTGCTTCAGCGTGACGCCTCTGCACTTCAGGCTCAGCAGGGCGGCCAGAATGTTGGATTCTGCCAGCGGCCACATAGACAGGGCCGCTTCCTCCTTGCTCACAGTCTGCAGGTAGTTGTTCTGCAGATGGTCCAGCAGGCTGTCCACACTGGATGTGCACTTGGTCATGGCCCGGGCATCGGCGTCGCAAAGAGAAAGATTCCAAACAAACGGGTTCCCAGCAGCACCGCTGTTCCCTGGCAGCGCCAAAAGAGGCTCGCCTCCTGACATGGGCAGCGCCGCTGACTGCTCCAACGGAGGCGCTGCTTGTGCTGCCAAAGCCTTGGCCTTTGCCTTCGCCAGCGACTTGTTCAGCTTGGCCGTCACCGCGGCACTTGCTGCCTGCGCATTCCAAACATCCTTCTCTTCGCGAGACAGCCTGCCCCAACGCTCCTTGACATCGGCCCGGGCCTCCTGAGGCAGGGGAGATATTAATTTACAATTTACAATTTACAAATTTACACTTTACACTTTACACCGTCTGCAACACTGCTATGCTATATTTGTTTACTATATACTATACTATTACTATACTACTAGTCACTCTTAGTCTTAATCTACTACTTTACTTAGTCACTCATCGCGAATAGCTAATTACTAATTATGAAACACTCATCACTAGCCGTCACTAACCACCATTCACCATGCACTAATCATTCAGTGTTCATAATAATTAACAATAATCAACATCCTTCTGATCTGCACCATTGTGACATACTGAGCCTTCACTGAAAGTAACCTGAGCGACTTATATATTTTTCATTGCATCTATCTACTCTATAATCTATAATCAATAATTAAGGAAATTAAGTCGAGTCAAGTCCTTTTGCAGGTGGAAGATAACATAGCCCAGAGATCTAATCATCTGATGTCTAATATTTAATAATCTAATCTCTGATGTCAGGGGAATCACGTCGAGAATCTAAAATTTAGCACCCAAGACCAAGGAGTTAGAATAGTAAAGTTAGAAAAGTATGCAAATGTGTGTGGCTTCCTTGGACATCCACTTCCGGCCGGTGACGCCCAGCTCGATCTGCTGCTTCATGTGCCAGTCACGAAACATGTGCAGGCCAGTTGCGGAAGCGGCTTCTGCCAACTTGCCTGGGTTGCGACACTGCCCGCCCCGTCCCGCAAAGCAGCCGGCAACCAAACTGCAGAACAGTGAGTGAGTAAAGTTAAGTAAAGTCCAGCTAGCCCACCCCAGTAGTGTGGCGATGCTTTCTAAGATTCGAAAATCAACAACTTTTTCTTGAAATTAACCGTAACCGTTAAGCCGTTAAGCCGTTATGACTAATCACTAATCCTAATCATCACTAATCACTAATCACTAGTCACTAATCAAATCACTTGTCACCAGTCACTAGTAATCATATATATTTTAGTCATAGTGGCTAATCCCGACTGTATCTCTGTGTTATTATTTTCAGAATTCTAACCTCCCATTTTCTGAAAGATACGCCCAAAGACACAACCCGTCAACTTTTCTAAGAATACTAGAGTAGCTAGCCTTTCCGTTTACTAAGTTTACATTTGCTATGTTGCTGCTGTTGTGTTATTCAACTGTTATTCTGTGTTATTCCACCGTATGCCAGAATACTAACTCTTTACAGACGCTTTACGTCTTGAGGCAATTGCCAGCATAATATAAATTATAAATCAATGTAATTATAATAAATTAGTAAAGTATTGAATAAACTAGTAACTAGTAAGCCTGCTAATTACACACTAGGTCAGTAAAACATCACCCAGTTACGACGCTTCGGTGCCTCATGGCCGTCGGCATCAGCGTCACCATCGGCAACGCGCTGCTGCTTGAGGTGGCACTTTTTGCGCACCTCCTGCTGCAGACGCACGTGATGAGCCTGCGCCTCCTCGCTGATGCTCTGCACAGACATCGTCCCAAAATGGACCAGCCCCATTTGTTTGTGATGTCCGTGCTTGCG